AACCGCACTCAGAAGTGGTTGCAGGAACATCTTCCGTTCTGGGCGAAGGATATGTGGCCGCCATCCAGCCCCGATCTTAATACGTCAAGGCCTGTTCTAAACGCCAGCCGAGTACAGCAAGCCTCAGACAAACATTGACCCGTACCTGGAGAGAAATGGATCCAGACTACATTATTAGAACCTGCCGTGCATTTCGGAAGCGTGTGGAGGCCGTAATTGCAGCAAGTGGAAACTCGATCGATGATTAACATAGTTTAAGACTCTGAGAAACATCCCCTCTTTAAATAAATAAAAAAACTCGAAAACGTAATTTTTGAGAATTTTTTTAATGTTGACATTGCTTAATGGTCCAAACATTATCACGCATACGGTAAGGGGCGATCCATTTATTATGTCACGCTTAATTGAGGATAAATTAACTCCCCCCCTCCTCCCTTTCTTGACGTTTTTCCTATACTTAATGAATTGCTTGTCACAAAATCATAAACCCCCCCATAAATAAAAGTGGCTCCCAACTGAGTAAAAAGTTACTCACTCTCTGAGCTAATTTTGTTTTCAGTATTCAGTATATTCGACGAGATCGAAAACTGTCTGTGTGTGTGTCTAACGAAACTTTGAGACTCAGTTTTCTCGGCAACCACAGTACCGAATTGGAATCGGTCACGACATATCGCCGAAACATGTTCCACTGAATACGGGCCTTAAGACTAGAAGTGACCTGAAATGTGTCAAGCACGTCATGCGACGCCACTTGAAATCACTGAAATGGGGTCGATTTTTGTTGATCGAGGTCCACATATGTTATGTGCTAACATTGAACTTGATTTTGATTTCTCATGTGATTTGAGGTGTCGCATGATAGGTTATGGTTCATGTCAGAAACTTGTCACATTGCCACAGCACCCCCTACTCGGAACATGTCCGAATGTGGCCAACGGGCATGTGGGCACTCACTATGACCTCCATAAACCTTTCGAATTATCATGTGTAATGATAATGATAATTCGAAAGGTTTAAAAGGTTTCGGTCGAAAGGTTTATGACAAGTTTCTGACATGAACCATAACCTATCATGCGACACCTCAAATCACATGAGAAATCAAAATCAAGTTCAATGTTAGCACATAACATATGTGGACCTCGATCAACAAAAATCGACCCCATTTCAGTGATTTCAAGTGGTATAGATGGACATCGATCTGTGCAATTGGGGCTTGTCAATTCCTTTAATTCTACCGTGGTTTATAATTCTATGTGTTCCTAGCACTCCTGAAGATATGTCTTACTATTTCCTTAACCATTTATGTGCTTTATTTATAATTATATAGCTAACTTTAACAAATTCATCACCTTGATTCACACAGCAAAACTGTGGTAAACTTAGAAGAAACATGTATGTAACACTTCCTTCTGTGGACATTTCCTAATTTTTTGAAATCAATTGCATCAAAGTTTGATTTCATTAGGTTTCGTATAAGGAAAAACACGACCACGTAAATTTGGAATTAAGTGCTTACATTTTGAAGTCCAGAGAGAAGCAGCAAAATTTGGAACAAGAGTCATAAGTCCCATTTGAAAAATATGCAGTGTTTTGAGCTGACTTTGCATCGTTTCATTCGCAATAATTCTGCAAGCAGGACGATAAATGATATCGAGCGGTTATCAATACCTGCAATATCCAATTACATGCAATTAACATAATGTCCGTAATGAATTGCATTACCAAAAAGATCGAAGAGACTAAGAAATACTGCATCTGTAAATAGGCAATATTACTGAATAACAACGCTCTTGATTGGCTTCTAACCGACTTGAAAATACTAATTAAAAAAATCCTTTGCGAAGCCCCCTGTCGAACTAGTCGAAAAAAGAATGCCCACACGTCAAACTCAAGGGGGGAGGTGACTGTCAAATACGAACAATCGTCGCCTACCTCGCATAACTGGTTCCAAACGTAAACAAGCCATAAGAAGCCTACAGCGTTTGTTTACGTTTGGAACCAGTTTAATACAAGAATGATCAGTAGGCTGATTTGACAGCACGTCCCTCCCCCCCAGGTCAAACTCCGTCAAGCATTCAAACAGCGGATAACAAAAGAGATGACAAATTATCTGGGCCTCACCTGTTAACATCTCATTACGCATTACCGTGACTATTGCCAATTCGCCTCTTGGGTCACTCTGTAACTCTTCGCTCCTATGGTCACTCTGTAACTCTTCACTCTTATGGTAAAATCCCATAAGCAGACATCAGTCTGTGCGTGAAACTTGGTGAACATTTCCTTATTCTTTCACTCCTATGAAAAACCCATATGATTCTGTCAATGTATACGTGAAGAAACGGCTGCTTGCTGGAGGAATGAAGAGATAAGACAAAGTCCGCTAGATTTCATGCATAGATTGTCAGATGCTTATGGGATTTTACCAAGAGTAAAGAGTTGCAGAGTCGCCGTCATAGTCAATGCTTACTTTCATAAGGGCCAAAGCTACAAACGTAAACAATTACTTTTTGCGATAATTTCTCGAAAATAAAAACTCAATCAAGAAATCCAACACCATGATTGTGTATAGAAAGTGTCCTCCTATCCGATAAAACAGGTGGCTTACATGGATTGATTTTGACGTACGAGACATTTACGAAAGAAGCCATTATTTATGTTTTCGACATTGGTCCTTATGAATGCTCAGTGTCGATATCACGAAAATTTTATTTTGACAGATCGATGTCCATCTATGCCAGTTATACCACTGAGGCAAAACAAAAAAGGGGTCAGCTTTAAGTCAGCTTTTTGCATGAAGTTCCACATATGTTATATGATGTTAGTTATGTCGAGAACCTAAGACCATTTTAACCACATCCGGTTATGCTCCACGTCCCTCCCTTCAATACCATGAGAATTCAAAACCTAGTTCAATGGTAGCTATATTAGGTGCTCAGGATCACATTTGTAACATCTACATATGCTTCGGGTACCCCGGGGAAGTGGCCACGTTCTGGACCAGAACCCATCATAAGTTGCTTTAAATCACATGAGAACTCAAAACCAAGTTCAATGTTGGCCACATCGAGGAACCAAAACCATTTTAGCCACATCCGGACATGTTCACTTTTTACCTGTTCAACCACTTTGAAATCGTTATTTAGAGTCATAATTGTATTCAAATCGGTCCCAAACTACAGAGGGTCTTCTAGTTTCACCTATTTGTATCGATTTCAAGCAAAAGCTTTTTATTTGTTTACGGTTTGAGAGTTGATGAACAGGTAGATTGAGGTTAAGGCACCGTTTTTGACTTGGACCACAATCCATCATGCGACACCTCAAATAACATGAGAATCTCAAGAACACATTCATTGGTAGCTATAGTAAGTTCCCAGGACCACACTGGTCACATTTGGACATGTTCTGGGTACCGCTGAGGACGTGGCCAGTTTCTGATTTGAACCAAAGCTCATTATACGCTGAATTCTCGATCAATTTATGAATTGGTCCTGGACATTGTCGATTGATTTGATTCACTTTCCACTCAGGGGGGTGGAATGTGGCTGTCAAATATGAACAATCGTCACCAACCTTATATAACTGGTTCCAAACTTAAGATGATTCCTTGTAGAGTCCACAAATGGCCGCCACGTAGGCTATACATGCACTTCCACTTCGAAATTTCCATTACACAAATCTCGGAAAATAATGCCCCATTTGCCTTGAAATTGCTACTTCATGTATGCTGCAGTACAGCAAACGAGAAGTAACAGTTTCATAGTGGTACGTGTCGGGGAAGCTGATATTTGTGAACTTACAGTTTCGAAGTGGTTACGAGAATGAGGATCTCACAGCGAAACACCTTAAACAAGTCATAAGAAACCTAAATGGTCTACGATATTAAATAGCCAATGAGCTCAAAATCTCGGTAATAAAGCTTTAAAAAAAATCTACATCGCACTATTTCTGCTATGCTCTTCTATCATCCAGAACAGAAAACGTATCAATGAATGTGTTTGCCGTTGAGTTATCAACGAAACAGAAAGTCGATCGATGAGAATCGATCAAAATTACTTGCACCCCTGCTTCCAAGGTTAGTTACAAAATTACAACTCTGGAGAGCATTTTTTGTGATCGGTGGGGCCGATCTTCGACTTGTTTCGTCTAAATACTAACGACTCTCTGATGACAGTGCTGGGGAAGCAGCATATGCACGTACGTAATCGGTAAATTTGTTAGTTATTTCACCGGTTTTGGACAATGCTTAACATTTACAATTTTTTGATAGTTTCTTGTTGAAAATCAACAGTCAAATCAACATTGCTATCGATGCGTAGAAATATTTCTGATAGATTGGTGATAACATTATTAAAATTGGTCCAGGGCAGCTGAGTTATTAACGTTCAAAATCTTTCATAATTTCGTTACATGTTCCATTTTTGGTTTTTTCAAAGTGTACCCTCATATAGAAATCACAGACGTAGTACAACGTAAAAAAAATGTGTATTGAGTTCTCAGGAGTCAGGACTTGATTCAGGTACCTTTGGGGAATCCAAAACCTTACTAATCCAAAATCTTTCAAATGACGCATGAAGTCACATGCGAATATAAAATAAACTTTTCTGTTGTGCCAGGCTCCACATTGGGCATACCCGCGACGCATTATACTGTCTGAATCCTCAAATAAGAATAATAAATTGCGAGTGCTCCCTGCCAACAATCTGCCATGACTCAAAACACATAGCATGAAAGATCAAACACAGACCCACATAACAGGAAGAAATTATCTCACGACTGTTCCCTACATGCGAACTTGAGCAGTTTTGTCGGAATTTAAATAAGTAAGAAAGGTCAAATCTCAGGTGGACAAATTCTGGTTTTAACGCAAAAGACGAAGTAGCATAAAATCCCGAAACCCAAATCATGAACAAACCATCGTCAATTCCAAACTTTGATCATTCTACCACCACCAAACTCTGCGACCATCATCACTAATCTCCCGTCTCTTCCTTTCCTTCCAGATAACGAACCCCCACGCATCAAGTGCAACCTGCGGAAGCATAAACCGAACCGCAAACCCCGCACCCCCTTCACCACCCAGCAGCTGCTATCGCTCGAGAAGAAGTTCCGCGAGAAGCAGTACCTCAGCATAGCGGAACGGGCCGAGTTCAGTTCGTCGCTCAGGCTCACCGAAACCCAAGTCAAAATCTGGTTCCAGAACCGACGGGCGAAGGCGAAACGACTGCAAGAGGCCGAACTGGAAAAGATCAAAATGGCAGCCCTCGGACGAGCACCCGGTGCCCAGCTGTACATGGGCTACTTCCATCCCAGCCTGATGGGCGGGGCGATGCATTTAGGTTGAGATCAACTTTCAACCGCCTCACCCCTCGCTAGTATGACTGTCGTGTTCCAAAGCAAGCAACCATCCTGTTCTGTGAATATTAGCCTGTAGGATCTCGCGTATTGTAAAAAGTATCTCGATCAACAAAACCAAATTATTATTACTTTTCTCCCCTACGGTAATCCTCCGTACAGCAAACGAGTCTCTCTCACCCAGCCAGAAAGGGTGTAACAAATATGTAAATGAAGAAATGTAGCAAAAGTTCGTTCAGGTAGCGCAGGGGCTCACTTCACTCTCTATTTATTACCACCACCTAAATATTCATTTTCGAGCTTCAGTTGAAAAGTTTCGGTTCTTCCATCCTCTCCTCGACAGAGGAATATAAAAACGATCCAAATATACAAACAGAAACCAAGTCAGTTAGTCAGCTGTTATTTACCTATCTTAATTTAAATTCGAACAAAAACTAAAAATCGGTCGCGAGGACAGAGTGCCAGGCTGTAAATATTAGACCAATCAGGCTGAAAAGGAAAACGGTTCGGAAAACAATTAATTTCAGCACTTTGCTCGTCACTCTGAGAGCTCACGCATTCGAAGATTCGGTGATCCATGAGGAGAGTGTACCAAACAAAACAGAAAAGGCGTGTAAATATTTTCGCTCCAGGCAATGAGCAGAAAAGTGAGGTTATTATCTGACTTAATTGTTGTCAAACACTGAGATGAATAAATTACCGGCACAAAACAACAAAACGAAGCAAAGGAGGAAGAAACCTAACCCGATCAGCCGAAGAGGCAAACTTGTGTAAATAGTCAATGTAATTTCTAATCACCGAAATAGAACTGCGCAGAACCGTTTTGTAAATATAGTTCGTAAGAGGCAAGGTGAAGCGAAGAAGAGAAAAAAAAAACAAATGACAAGGTGATGCGTCACATGTGTAATTTAAACAAATGGATTAGAGTTTGATAGAGCAAGGAAAAGATAAAGCAAACAATATTATACGTCTTCTTAGGTAAGGTTAATCTTAATGAATAAACTATTGTAAAAGAATGAAAACCGCTAAGTGGTTTTATTGATGACATACGGCAAGAGAAAGCAAAATGATTGAAAAACTATCAACTCTTGAAAGGTTCAATAAAACTGTCAAAAGTAATGGAAAAAATTAAAGCAATAAGTTTGAAGTTTCTGAAAGAAATCTCCAAGACCAATACGGACTTACATCAGGGGAAATGCTACAAAGCAGAATGCCCATTATTGAAATCCTGTAAATCACAATGGTTGAGAAAAATCTAAATGATGAAAAGTGTTCAGTACCCAACTAACATCACAGCATTTTTAAATTCCTGCATTAAATCGATGGTTTAGCTCGAAATTCATAAGGCCATTCATAGACCACTTTAAATGTTCGATCTAGATTTCAATCTTAATCTAATCTAGTGAATTATACTTTTCACCGTTTACTGCACTACAAGCTTAAAATCTGTGTGGGTGGGCGACCGGTAACTGCTGGGTACTTTGGGTGGTGATTCTGCACGTGGTGGTGGTGGCCTCAGTTGTGAGAAAGATGGCGACGCGTGACGGTGATGCTGATGATGATTGGCGAATGGTGGTGGTGATTGGTGGTAAACTAGGTATCAGCTCTTCATACTAGGTGCTAGTGTTGTTCTTAAGACTCGGTGACCGGATAGGAACAATCGACGTTAGATTTAGAGTGCAACTCGCTCCGTGGTTCATCCCTGGTTTGTGAAACGAAGGCCAGTATAGCACGAGATGAGATACAATATTAGGTCCACTGTGAACAGTGGTGCAGAAACAGCAGATGCAGGTATAATAGTGTCTTGGCGAAAGTTATTTCATTTATTTTAGCTAATCTATTTATGTGCAATGCATTAGGGTGATCCACACAGTTTTTTTTTTTTCCTTTGGTTTGTTTTTTCCGTCGATCTTGTTTTCCGTGCTGAGCACCAATGCTACCGACGTGCCAGGAAGACAGCTCCCACACCTGGACCCTACCTATCGACCCATCAACTCATGAACCGGGGACCAACGGCTTTACTTCCCATCCGAAGGAAGGCGTGATCAGAGATGTTATGCCTCAGAACATCCCGGCGGCGCCGACTGGGATTGAACCCAGGCCTGCTGGGGTGAGAGGTAATCACGCTTACCACTACACCACCGGCGCCGTTAATGATCCACACAGTTGATGAGTTCCAAATACCAACTTTTTAGTTATTCTAGATAGAAGTGTAATGTTCCTTAAAGTTGAAGAACAAGTTATTTGAAACAAATTTTTTTCAAGGAAGCAATTTTCTATCTTCATTGGTTCACGATTTATATTGATTTAGAATGAGTAACATTCAATTTACTTTTGAAATGGGCGTATTTTTTATCGAAAACTCTTCATAAATTACCAAAGTAAAAAGATAGCATCTTACTTGCTTCGGCAAAAATTCATGCTATATATTTTTTTAAGTGTCTAGAACATACTGTGCGAGAAATCAAAGCATAAAAAGTTTAGCTTGAAAACCCGATTTTTTAGAAATCACCCTTACTTACTGTTTGCGACAGTCCTCATGGATCGGTGATGGATCGAAGCTTCTGTTGTACCCAGTGTTTACATCGTCATTCGCCTGTCTCCTCGCAAGTCGGGAAATCATCGACCACTAGTACCATTCAAGCAAGGGTCGAACTTCAAATGCAACGTATAGAGGAAGAGAAGCGGGTCCAGGAGAGGCTCATGCGGGAAATTGAGGAGCAGGAGAAGGCTTTGCGAGAAAAATCGATGCAGCAAGAGCTTGAAAGCAAGCGGAAAGTGAATCAGTAACGGTGGGAATTGGAGAGGCAATTCATCGGCAGGAAGTTCAACCTTCTGCACTCCGTGAATGAAGGTGACGACAATGTGAGTGTGAGGAGCCTACGTAGTAATCGTAGCTCTAAAAGCACGGTTCATCGGTGGTTGGAAGACCAGAGAGAAACGATAATGGCAGCTTGTGCTGGGAACGTTGAGGTCCCAGTAGTTACCACATCGTATACTGGAACGATCCCGAAACGGACCACTGCAAGGAGCATAATTATCAGTAGGAACCCAACCACACCTGTCATAACAAGCATTTCATCGAGACAAGCACAGGTCAGGTATACGGATGAAAACTCGCTATACGACATCGCAGTAGGTGTAGTACCAGCCCCTGTCAGTGGCTGGTACAATTTTTCGAGGCGGTCGGCGCATCAGTTCCAGTATCAAACGTCGATACATTTCCGGCTCCCGTTCGTAATCCAATACCTGCATTCAGCGATTTGATCTCCCCACCAACTTCAAAACAAGAGGAACTTGCGAAGACTTTCTCCAAAATCTCGTCGAACGCAGTGATGGCCCAGAGGAAACTGGAGCAACAGATACTCGATTTGCAGCAACAGATGGACGATCTTCAACGTCAGTCAGCGAATCGACTTCGGTCTCAGCAGGATCGATATATTCTGATGACTCAAATTCCAGCTGTAACTGATTCAAGTTAACACGGTAGGGTACCGTGGGAAGGTAGGTCAAGCCAGCTATTAGATTCTTTTTCGGCAAATCAAGTGCCCACTCCACGATTCAGGGTATGGGTATGGAGAACCATCTGTCGAACTCGACTCTGTTGCAAGAGCTGGTGACCAAGCTTCCGGCGGGAGTCAAACTCGATTGGGCTCTTCACCAACATCGAATTCGTGTTGTAGATCTGCGTGCTTTCGGGGAGTTCATGTCGACCATTGTATCTGCTGCCAGCAACGTCACGTTTCAAAGTGACTTCGAAACGATACGCTCATCAGCAGCTTCGAAGTCGGAGAAACCGTAAGGGGAAGAAAAGGGTTTCCTGAACACTCATGCGGATGATGGTAATAGAGTAAAGGTGCAAGGTGAATGGAAGCGCAACGTCAACACTGTGGAAAAAGGTCCAGTTCAGCCGAAACCATGTCCAGTGTGTCAGAAGAATGGCCATAAGCTGAAAGAGTGCTACAAGTTTCAGAAGAACAGCATCGGTGAGCGTTGGAAATTGGTACAGCAGTTACATCTGTGTCGACGCTGTTTGGCATGCCATGGAAAATGGCCCTGCAAGGCACCGTTATGTGGACAGAATGGCTGCGAATTAAAGCACCATAGTCTGTTGCATTCAGAAAAGGCGGAGACTCCAGCAATCAAAGAAATCTCTTCTCAATCAACTGCGAAGGTGAATGTGCACCGTCAAGGCTCGCGGTCTACGTATTGTGCCAGTGCGGTTGTACGGTAAGGACTCATCAATCGACATATTGGCTTTCTTGGATGACGGGTTGTCGTTTACGTTGATGGAGCAAGGAGTTGTGGATCAGCTCGGAATCGACGGTGTGATTGAACCCCTTTGCCTTCAGTGGACAAACAATGTTACGCGCACGGCATCGGAATCCAAGGTAGTACAGTTGGGAATCTCCAGTATTAGCGGTGACAAGCGATATATGTTAGAGCGAGTAAGAACGGTTGAAAGTCTCGGGCTACCTCCACAATCTCTTCGCTTCGAACAGATGGAACAACAATTTCCATATCTTCGGGGGCTACCAGTGAACAGCTACAGCGGAGCAGTTCCACGTATCCTGATTGGCTTAGACAATACCGACTTGATGGTGACACTGAAGAAGCGGATCGGCAAACCTCTGGAGCCAGTTGCGACGAAAACGAAGCTAGGATGGACAGTCTATGGGAACGTGGGAGGCCTTGATGATCCACCAGAACATCGCCTTCTGCACGTTTGCTCGGGATCAACCGATCGTGAACTACATGATCTCGTCGAGGAGTTCTTCACCGTTGAGAGTACTGGTGTGAAGGTCGCACCGATAGTCGAAGCAGATGATGATCGTCGGGCACGGGAAATCATGGAGAAAACCACGATTCGTACACCATCTGGGAGATTTGAAACGGGTTTGTTATGGCGTTATGACTGTATCGAGTTTCCCGAAAGCCGCCCGATGGCAGAGCGGCGGCTTAAGTGTCTCGAGCGTAAACTGACTGCAGATGCGGAACTTTACAAGAAAGTGAAGTTACACATCGCTGACCTGGAGGCCAAAGGATACATCCATAAGACGACACCGGAGGAACTGGCGGACTTTGATCCGCGGAGAATCTGGTTCCTTCCGTTGGGATTGGTTATCAACCCAAACAAACCAGGAAAGATCCGTATGGTGTGGGATGCGGCATGCTTCTGTAAGGACCCGATCTTCTAACATCCCTCAAGTCAGTTCTACACAGTTTCCGACAGCGACAGGTAGCTGTGGTAGGGAATGTTTTTCCAACTTCTCATTCGCGCCTGGGATCGTCAATCGCAATGCTTCGTATGGCATGATGATTCATCACTACCAGTCGAAGTCTACGTGATAGATGTTGCCACTTTCGGTTCAACGTGCTCACCATGCTTGGCGCAGTACGTAAAAAACCGGAATGCTGAGGAGAACAGAATAGAATTTTCAGAAGCCGTCGAAGCAATAGTCAACAACCACTGCGTCGATGACTACCTCGACAGTAGGGACACCGAAGAAGAGGCAATCCGAATAGCGTCAGAGGTTAAGCAAGTTCATGCAAAGGCTGGGTTCGAGCTCCGTAACTGGTTGTCGAATTCGGAAGAAGTTGTTCGACGGGTCGGGGAAAGCTCTGCAAGCGAATGCAAAAGCTTCACGACGGACAAATCTACAGGGATCGAAAGAGTCCTCGGCATGCGATGGCAGCCCATCAACGACGAATTCACATTCAGACTTTGCTTGCGGGAAGACGTCGCGCAGTTGCTGAGTGGCGATATGATTCCGACCAAGCGAGTCTTTGATCCACTGGGACTAGTAGCAGCATACGTTGTTCACGGGAAGTGTTTGGTGCAAGACATATGGAGGAGCAAGATAGGATGGGATCAGCGAA